TTTAAGATTAAACATTAAGCAGATCTAACCTAGTGTTTAAATTAAAATCACTACGCAAAATTTAGGGAGGGGGGGGGGGCGGGAGTGTACAGGCACCTTCCACATTAACATTTAAAATCAGAATACAATATAAATCAATGATGAAGACTTTACTAACATTCTGACTTATCCTTCTACAGTGAACTGCTAGCTACAGCGAGCTGCTATTATGCTATCATAACTGTGTTACGTAAATAGAACAGAGTGCAAAAACAGACAGCTGTATCAGCATAGTGCTTCCATTATTTTATTGACCAATTATTTTCTTACGGTTCTTACGGCAACCTAATCCCACTGGTTTGTGAAGCTCACCTTCAAGCATAAAGTAGGATTTGCAACGGAGCCGTGCTGAGAACAAGACCAGCAAGTTGCACTGATGCAGAGCCTTTAGGTTCTCAGCATTATTTGCATCTGCCCATGACGTGTTCGAAAGAATTTAGCTGGTTCTCTTTCCCAGACTATAAATAAACTATTATCTTCATTTAAACCACTGAGCCCCGGATCAGACAGTCGAATGATAAACAAATGAGAGGGAAAAAAAAAACAAAAAAACAAAAACAAAAAAACCCTCACATTCCCCATCTGTACTTACAAGATGGTGCACTGGCTAACTCAAAATGGAAAGTACAGCGTTATTAATTAATATATAAAGCTAGCTGACATTATTATTTTTAATCAGTGTAAGCATGGACCAACTGAAAATATACTGGTAAAAACTTACACTCAGCACAACCTATTTTTTTTTTTGAGGAAAAAATTCACCATACCCATCTATATAATGAAGTGTGCTCTTATATCTTTATCTATCTATAGGGCTCCTGCGATGGGGGGGGTGACCCATCCCGGTGCGTTGAGCTGACCAGATGAACCAGTTTTTTCCAGCGCTTGCGGTCTTGTGCCAGCTGCTCTGCATCCTCCGCAGCAATTCCGTATTGTTGGAGGTCCCCCGCGATGACGTCGAGCCACCGGGTGCGGGGCTTGCCTCGTGGTCGTCTCCAGCCTGCAGCCCTCGGGTCAAACTGGAGAATGGCTTTTGTCGGATGATCAGGAGGGAGACGGAGGACGTGACCAAACCAGCGGGTGCGGCGTTGTGCGACCAGGCCAGATGCTCTGGGCTGGCACGTGCGGGCTCTAAGCGCCTCGTTGGAGACTCGCTGGGGCCACCGGATGTTTTCGATGGTTCTGAGAGCCCTGCTATCAAAGCCATCTATTCTTGCAGCCAGAGTCTTGTTTAAGGGCCATGTTTCCGAGCCATATAGCAGGATAGAGAGTACGGCGGAGTTATAAATCCGGAGCTTCGTCTTGCGCGAGATGGTCTGGTGCCGCCAGAGTGGTAAGTTCATGCATGTCGGTGATGGACCGGATCCACCTCCCCTTCGGGACAACATCGTAGAGCCCGTCAAGAACTTTGTATATCTGGGATCCACTGTGACAGATAACGGGGACCTAAAACCAGAGATTCTCCGCAGAAGAGCCCTGGCAGCATCAGCTCTGCAGTCCCTCTGTGCTCTTATATGCTTCACGTATTCTGTCAGTGGAGCTTGTTTGAAAAGGAGTGACTGGTTAACCTCACTTCGCATGTTCTCTAAGGTCATACAGTCAATAAATTTAGTTAGGACATTCAGCTAGTGTTAGCTGGAATCATTTGTGCCATTACGCACGTTTGGTTTGCTAGTTATAATATCGGAACAATGACCTAGCTTAGACATCAAATGATCGAAAGCAACATACAGGAAAAAGTGTGAAGCACTCTCCGCTTACATCAGTTTACAGCAGAACAACACATGGCTTTTGCTACCAAACTGTCACGTGCGTATTGGAAAGTGTGTGCTTGTTTACGAGGCTCCTTTATCACGTCCAAACCTGTCAGTTAGCTCATCGCCCATGCTCTTTTATTTATCGTAAAATAACTCCTATAAAAAGCATTTATCATAAGGAAAAAAACATATCATGGTCAACTGAAGATGTGAAAACAACAAAACACTATTCCTGAAAATAATATGCGGAGGAAATGTATGATATGAAATGTAAGATCGGCTCATTGTCCATTCACTAACTTGGGAATGGGTGGGGTTAAATATTGCACTGCAGCCAGCCACTAGAGGGCCTCAGAGACACTGTGGCTTCAGTTTTAAAGCCCTGTTATGCCGTCCACCCCTACATTCGATTAGATTAGATTCAACTTTACTGTCATTGTGCAGAGTACGAGTACAGAGCCAATGAAACGCAGTTTTTCGCATGTCCCAGCTTGCTAGGAAGCTGGGGTCAGAGCGCAGGCTCAGCCATGATACGGCACCCCTGGAGCAGATGTGGTTAAGGGCCTTGCTCAAGGGCCCAACAGCAGCAGCTTGACAGTGCTGGGGCGTGAACCCCTGACCTTCCGATCAGTAACCAGAGCTTTAACCTTTCAGCCAGTACACATATAAGTACAGTAACAGTTTAGGACACATAACCTGTTCTTCACAAATAATGTATATCCCTAATACATATACATATACAGTGTATTTCAGTTTGTCTGTGCTTAAATGCATGTGTTGACTTGATTATGATTAAATCATATAGTATAATCATTCACATAGAACTTGGTTATAAGTTTCAAACATTTTATCTATGAAATCCCAAATTCTAAACACAATAAAACATCACATATAATTGGCATCGCACAATATAACACTTGTCAAAGAAAGTGTGTGTGTGTGTGTGTGTGTGTGTGTACCTGGGTGGCAGAGGTGATGCTGACACTGACAGGGAGTCCATTCTTCCTGTACATGCTCTCAGCCAGATGAGTAGAGCGAGCTCTCAGCAGACCTCAGCTGGTCACTGACACACACGACGTCTCAGCCATCCCTGAAAACAGATTTTTGCAAAAAAATTCATCGCGCTCATTCGGCATCAGCTGGCAAGTCGAATGTACTGTATCTGTATTCTTTGACTGCACAGAGCTGCGCAAAAATATCACATCCATACTGTATATATCCAACTGCTCTTACGACAGAAGTGTAGCAATTTGTGTTAGTGCATTTGTAGAGCTCATTAATCATTTTTGTAACTCAGTGATGTTAGATGTATTTCACATCGATTCAAGGAGCAAAACATGCTGTATTTAGTAATGATGTGTTGTTCGTGAACGAGCTGACTTTTTTGACTCTCTTAGTTGGACGTTGGCATCCGACCTGCCTTTCTGAAGAGGCTTTTATTTTTGGAATGTGATATTCTCAATCAAAACGCATCATTCTATATTCATAATTCTAGGATTAGAGTCATTAGTCACATACGGTGCAACTGTAATCAAAAACACTCCAGTGAATCTCATCGCCAGAGCCGTTTCGCACAGCGTAATGATTAAGAGCCAGTTCAAGTTAAGACGTGTGTTTGACTGAGGCGGTATGATGTGTGTAGTCATGGGAAAAAGAAAGTACACCCTCCTGCAAGTCTTCTGAAAGCATAAACTCCTTCAGCTTTTTATTTATCAGGGCCTAAATAGCAAGTGTGTGGTCCTCACCAACTTCTATAAACAAATACTCTCAAGTGACAACAAAAAAAAAACACTACAACAGATTTAAATATCTGGTCATTCTTTCCAAAAACAAAAAAACAACATTTCAGTAGCAATTCAGCTACGCACTGCCCTGCCCAATTCAATAACACGCAGAAACGCCGTTAGCAACAATAACTTGAAGTACACGTTTTTCTGTAGGAGTCTCCCACATCGCTTTGGAGGAATTTTGGCCCAGTCTTCTTTACAACATTGCTTCAGTTCATTGATGTTTGACGCCGTTCGTTTACGCACAGCCCTCTTGGGATCCCGCCACAGCATCTCGATGGGACCGAGGTGTGGATTTTGACTTGGCCATTCCGACACCTTCGGTTTTTTTTTTCTCCTCTAGCTATTCAGATGTCGATTTGCTGGTCTGCTTGGGATCACTGTCCTGCTGCATGACCTAACTCCGGCCAAGCTTAAGCTGCCGGACAGATGGCCTCACATCTGTCTGAAGAACATTGTGGTAGAAAGTGGAATCGTTGTCTCAATGACTACAAGTTTCCCAGCTCCTGTGGCTGCAAAACAAAGCCCAGATCATGACCCCTCCACCACCATGCTTGACAGTTAGCATGAGGTTTTTGTGGTGATATGCTGTGTTTGATTTTTGCCAAACATGGTGCTGTGCATGATGACCAAACATCTCCACCTCCACCTCAGTCCAAAGAATACTGTTCCAGAGCTTTTGTTGTTTGTTCAGATGCAAAAATTCTTGCTCAATGTTCTTTTTTTGGAGGAAAAAAAAAAAAAAAAAAAAAAAAAAGATTTTT